GCCTCGTCCTGTCCCTGCTGCTGGGAGTGGGGAGCTGCAGCACAGGGAGCAGGAAGATGCAGCAGGGGAGGAGATGGAGATGCAGAATCTGCAGCTATAACAGCACCTCTAGGCCCTGGGAGGTGGGAGCCCCAGTGAAATCCCTGCTCAGCCCCAGCACAGAGGCAGCTCCCTGAGACCCAGGACAGAGAGGCAGGAAATCAGGGAGGGTCCCAGCCAGGACAGGGCTGCTGGGGAGTGTGAGAAATGGTCCCAGCCTCCCCCGGCACTGAGCTCTGCCCCTAACGCTCTGATTCTCTCTCTCCAGTGAATGTGACTCTGGATCCAGACACGGCTCATCCCCAACACGTCCTGTCTGAAGACTGGAAATGTTTGAGATGGGGAGACACACCACAGCGACTGCCCAACAAGCCTGAGAGATTTGTGCTGGCCTGTGAGGGATTCACCTCAGGGAGACATTGCTGGGAGGTGGAGATGGGGTGTGGGCGATGCTGGGCTGTAGGAGTGGCCAGAGAGTCTGTGAGGAGGAAGCGGGGGTTGAGTTTTAACCCTGAGGAGGGGATCTGGGCTGTGCAGTGGCTGCATGGGGATCAATATCAGGCTCGCACCGCCCCTGAGTCCACAGTGTTACTGGGCTGGATCCCCGGCAGGATCCGGGTTTGTCTGGACTGTGACGAGGGGCAGGTGGCATTTTTCAGTGTTGAAAACAAGGCCCTGATCTTCACTTTCCCACCAGCGTCTTTCAATGGGGAGAGAATCCGCCCTTGGTTCTGTTTCTGGGACAGTGAAACCCAGCTGAGACTCTGTTCCTGATGCACAAGGTTATCTATCCCCCTGCAGTCCATGAAATGGGCTTCTCTAGCCTCTGGCACCCTCATTTCTTTGACCCTGGAATCTAAAGTGGGCTGGTGACCTGTTCTCCCCCCTACAAACAAACAAACAAACAGACAAACCCACCCAACCCTCAGGGACATTGACCAGCCTGTTTGTCACTGTTCTCTATGATCCCGGAGGACTCTAGCATTCTGCCTGGTCAGAGAGCAAGAGGAGGAGTCCTTGGTGAGGGAGGACAGTACAGGTGGCAAATATTTGGGGCATGGCAGGGGCAGGAGAAAATGGTTAATCTTCACTTTTGATGAGTGTTTTCTAGAATTTAACGAAGGTATTTTTATATCAAGCCCGCGGAGGTTGTGTTTTATGGTTCCCACGCTCATTGGCTGCTGCAGGCGTTTTTGTTTTTTCACCAAGTGGATTCTGTATCTTCACAGCTGTAAAAATGCTGAAATGTTTGTGTCTCACAATGATTTCTCCTGTCTACTGCTGGGTAAAATATAGCACTAAACCCAGAAGCCCTCAGAACTACTTGCTTCACCAGTGTGGGGTTTGTTTGCTTTTTACTGACATGCTCGGTGGGGTCGAGGTGGGTTACAGGTCATTAGAATTGCAACAAAAGCAAAGCCTCTGGAATTGCAACAACAGTAACGATCATTTTTCAGAGTAGAAGCCGTGTTAGTCTGTATCCGCAAAAAGAACAGGAATACTAGTGGCACCTTAGTACTCCTGTTCTTTTTAGTAATGATCATGTCTCTGCTAGGCCACATTCAGGTGCTTTCACCCAGTGTCTGTTGGATCCGAATTTCCCAGCCTGGGCGCATCAAGCATTCAGACAGTACAGTGACATGGAGCTAGTTACTGGTCCAAACTTCTCATAGAGGAGGGTCACATGCGTAGTTGTGCGGAACCTCTACTGGCCACGTTCAGAAACAAAAGGGCATCATCATCTGTTTGACGAGACTTTGGACATACAGTGTGTGCAAGGTTATGCTGTGCAGAAGATGCCATTTTACTCTACAAAAGGGCAATGATCCAAATTCATCCCTGCCGCTAAGTGGGTGCCCACCTCATTCAATGAGGTGCCAGATCCCTCTCTGCTGCACATTGGTGTTTTTCCATTGAAGTGAATGGGCAAGAGCTCCAGGGGGAGTAAATAAGTGTAGCTTCATTGACTTAAATGGACCTCTATCAGCTTACAGCAGTGGTCACGAGTTAATCTTTCTTTCTTTCTCTTTGTTTCTAGTGTAGCTGCTCTTAAATTAAAATTAAAAGAAGAGAAAAGAAAGGCAATGGCTCTCCCACCAGGAGCGCTTGTATCGATTGGAGTGTCAGTTTGGGGCATTGTGGGAGGGCTCCTGGAGGCCAGTAACAGTTGACATAAGCAATGCAGTGTCTACACTGACACTGTGTTGACCTAACTACATTGAACGTGACCCGATACCGCTCGAGGAGGTGGAGTTCTTACATCGGCGTAGAGAGCCACTCACGTCGGTGGAAGCCAGATTTAAGTGACGACACTTCCACAGCCAGGTTGATGGAAGGCACTTTTGTTGACTTAATGGTTTAGTGTAGACCAGGCCCTGGTGTGGTAACACTCAACTCCTGTTATCATGGGACAGGCAAAGCATGGGAGTGAGGAGCGGGTTACTGTGGCATAGAGAGGCTAATGAAAACTAGTTACGGTACTCCTCTACCCACAAAGCAGGCCTACAGCCTTAACATAGGACTACTCGCAAAAGCTTTACTAGTAACATTTGCCTTATTTTGGCACATCCTTGTCCGCCTCCATGCTCAATTTTGAGTCCTGTCACTAACCCTGATGAAGTAAAACCACCACAAATGACAAAAGCCCTCTACTGGCCCTGTTCGTCCAGTATGATGCCTGTGTGGGGGCTGCATGATGGGTACCAGCAAAAATAACCCTCCAGCAATGTCCCTGTCACTGCTCGGGTGACTGCTCCGATCACAATTTGGAACTCTCCCGCCAAGTGGCTGGAATCTCCCATTCCTCCACCTTTAGCCCATGTGTTTTGGAAATTCCTCTGTCCCT